CTACTGTTAGCACATACCAGTTGCTCTAGTCAGACACAGGCGCAAGTGGCACGATCAAGTCCACAGTTACCCTGCTAAATCGCTCTTCTATGAAAGGCATCTTCCCCAATGGCACTTTGGCTACCTTCCCTCTAGGTATTGTCCTTCGGCAGATGTCACATGACCTGCAGAATCTACTCACATCTCCAATTACTTTAAGCCAATGGAAATTACTGGTGATTCCGTCTGCCATTTTCTTTGTTCCTAGGTGTTCTCCCACAACTGATTCATGAGCCAACTTCATCACTTGAGTCCAGTATGATCTGTTTAACTTCCCCAGTATAACTGCCTTGATAGATTCGGTATAGAACTCCCTTCTAGTACTCTATTCTATAAGTATCTTTCCTCTTTGTTTTGTGCTCGACTTTCTTCTTCTGGGCATTGTCCCAAAGTTTCTACAGTGAAGGGTCTTTCTTCTGTGCTTCCTTCAGATCCTGCAAACCTAAGTTCAGGATATCACCTTTTGATACTTACAGGGGCTTGATGTCTTGTTTGCTCTTATTTTCTTGAGCTCTGGTGGTAACAGCAGATACTCCATCAATCTTCTTTCTGTCTAGTTCCTCAAAGTTTCTACTACCTGGTACGTTTTCTATCACCAAGTCAAGTATTGATTCCTTGATACACATGGCCTCAAGGTCTCATACATAATATGGAGTATTCATCTTTATTTTTGCTATGGGAAATTTTCTCACTGTCTCATCAATTAGCACACAAAAGCGTACCTTGCCTGTCATCTGATCATTGGATACTAAACTGGTTCTCACTGCTGTACTACTGCACCCACTGTCTCGTAGAACCTTCACTTTCTTGTCCCCAACATAGCCTTCAGATATTGGCTTATTATGATTTGTTGGCATCTCTTGATATTTGTCCCAAGCACCCATCACTATTGGCACTCTTGATCCATTTGCTAATTTGAGCCGACCATTAGTCCTGCACTGATCAATCACGTTTTCTTGTATTAAATTTGACAAGTTTCTTCTGGTAGCAGCATCCATAATGCCAGTCACTCTTTTCTTGTTTCTTACCAGCACTGTTTTTGTAAATAGCTCCAGCTGCTTTATGTTGACGTTTCTGCTGTTGTTTGCTGGTAATGGACTTGCACTCTTTTGCAATGTGCCCCATTTTATAATAAACATAACATCTCTTTGCCCTTCTGTCACTTTTGGATTTGCCAATTGTACTACCTCCATGGGCTTCCATAAACTGTTCTGCCAGCTTGATCATCTTGTCTACATCTTTTTGGTGCTCTCTCCTTTAAAAACAGTGACATGTCAGTTGAACACATGGTCATGAACTGTTTACGTACTAATAGGTCTGCTAGTCCCTCAAAAGTATTTTCACATATGTCAGTCCAGCTGGTGAAATATCACTGCAAATGTGCCACAAACTGAATTACAGTTTCTCCAGTGTCGGGTTTGACTCTGAACTTATGATGAAAACTTTCTTCAGTAAGTTCACATCGTTTCAGTAAAGCTACTTTTAATTTGTCATAACCCATGGCATCTTCTGACGTCATGCCTGCATATACTTGTAGGCTATTTCCTGTGAGATGTGTGCTGAGACAGACTGCTCAGTCACCTTTGTTCCAGTTCTGACTTTGGGTGATTCTTTCATATCTCTCCAGGAAAGCATCCACATCACCTTTATGTTCATCAAATTTGGTCAGCCTGGGTCGGCTAGTCCCGACTCCATAGTCATTTCTGGGTCCTTCTTTTGGTTGGGTGAGTTTTGCTATCTAGGTTTGTACTCTTATTCTCTCTATTTCTAGTCTCTCCTCTCTCTCTTTTTCTTCTTTCTCAATTTGTATTCTCATTCTCTATATTTCTAGTTTCTCCCTTCTATCAGTCTTTCTCTTTCTTCTTTCTCAATTTGTCTCTTATGTTGCCATTCTTCTCTTTCCAGTTCTTGTTGTTGTTTAATAAACTCTTGTAATTCACTGTCTTTTAACCCAAGTTGAGATACTCTTTCTACCCATTTATCAAAATCTGTTGACATGGTTATATATTATTTTCATTACTACTACTACAGCTGTGCGTATATAGATAGGCCTACTTATTTCTGCTGTCTTTCACGTTTTCTTCTATTGCCATTTACCACTGTATAATCCTGGCTGTGGCTTGCCAATTGTCAGATTTAAAAAAATAATATTTTATATATATATATATATATATAGATATAAATCAGTTCTTCTTTTTGCCAATTGTCGAAATAAATGGCTTTTACTTATATTTCTTAATAGTAGAAATATATACTATGTAGTTGTTGGGCTTAGGATTCTTCTACAGTAGGTGTCTGTGACTTGTTAGCGGTTTATTCAACAATGAATAAACACCACACATTTTACTTGTTTTCAAATAATATATAGTCGGAACAAGTTAAACTTTATCGAAGCCATCAATGGCTTCCACTTTCAAAATACATTCTACATGTACAATGTTTCAATGTCCTCTACGTCGTCTTCAGGAGTTATCTGCAAGACATACTACTTGCACATTATTTTCCTGCCACGTGATATTACGTTGCTTTTGAATTTACATAATTCCATAGTAAACCTTTATATTACATCACACCAAATATCAAAGCTTTGATTTGATGGTCCTTCAGCTCTGTTTAATCCTTCTTTTTCTTTTTTAAATTATTATAGTGATTCTCTGACATTTAAAGCTGTAATATTACGAGGTTGAGCTAAAATTGTAGTTTTTTCACATAAAATTTTGTGTTGTGTTGTTTTTACCTGTTCTGCAATGGCTAATTTTCTATTTTATTATTTCTTACATAACCTTTAAGTTCCTGCGATCTGTATTTTAAATTCCTTTTAATTTGACCAATATAAATACTCCCACATTCACATTCTATTTTGTAAATCCAAGTTTTATCTTCTAATTCTATTTTATCCTTAGTATTCTCCAACATTTCTTTAACTTTATTTATAGGTTTAAAGATTGGATAAAAGATCTGTTGCTTCTTAAAAAGGTTTAAATAACTGATCTGTTAATCCTGAAATATAAGGTAAACTTAGTTTATTTTATTGTTCTTTTCATAAATAGATGTTAACGTAGTATTTTTAACTAACGTTAAATCTTGCTCTATCTATTATATGTGGTGCAAATCCTTTTCCAATAGCTACATATTTAATTAATAACAATTCATTACTTAAATCTTCCTGTCTTGAACATATTTTAAAGTTACAGCATTGAAAAGTTATTTATTTAACTTTTTTCATTTGTGTTTTCTTATCTAAACTAATCAATTTCTAATATTTACATTTTAGTTACTTTTATAACAATAAATAAACAAATATAAATTTAAAAAAAAGAAATCAGATTTTTTTTTCCTATCAGCCCTGAAAATACTTAATTCTACTTTTTTGTAACAATGTTAGTAGTAAATAAATTATTTTTATTCACAAAAAAAACATAAAATGTCTTATAATTATTATAATTTAACTGGCTTTCTAACTAAGGTACAAGTGTTTTAAAATAATTTGTGACAATGAATCTCAAGGTCAAATAATTCAAACAGACATCAGAAAGAATCAGCCATATTTGGAAATCAGGAACTCTAAATGTTTCCTTTCTTTAGGTAAATAATTAATCCAAGATCAAACTTCAGATAGAATTTTGTTACTGACATTTTGTGAAAAGACAGGATGTGATAAAAGAGCTTGGCAAATGGGCTTGATTTTCAAGTTTATATAAACCAAAAAGACTAGAGGCTATAAAATTAAATGATGGCTTAGTAACACTGTAAATGTGTAATTTATATCAAACTCAGGACTTCATGTCGGGGTGATGAAAAAATTAAAAATAAACAATTCAGAGAGAATAAGTGTCATGTGATACAGGTAAGTGAAAACTGACAATTTACTCAAATATTGTCTTTTGAAATGAAGAAATTACAACTTGTATAATATTAAGATTTAATTTATTAACTATGTTTTGATGCCAAGTTTATTGATATATATTGATAATAAAGCAGTTGAATTAAATTTTAAATGTAACTCTGTTAAAAGTTATGGCATGCACTGTGACCTACTCACATTCAGATGGTTATAGCATTTTTATTTATTTTCCTTACCTATGTTCCAATTTGTTTACAATGTAATGTTTTTACACAAACAAAAACCATTATGTAATAATGTTGGTTACTTTATTTAAAATAGATGACAATAAAACTGATATCAAAATAAAATGTTAAATCTGTACATTTTAGTGTTATTTTTACTCTAGATGAGAGAGGAATTATTGACATTCTCTGTCCTTTTTCATTCTCCCATAGAAAAGTACCAGGACAAGTTTTAAATTATAGTTAGGAATAAAACCAAACATAGGAATGGCAGAAGAGAGTCCTGCCTCTGTCTGCACTGTTACTCACCAGTTTGGAAGTTGTAGGTGGAGTATTCATAATTTTAGATGAGGGTGTAGTCAAAGGCCTAGGTATAGCAGAAGGGAGTCCTGCTTCTTTGTGTAGGACAGTGGCTGATTCAAGTAAACCTGAGAATGAATAGTAAGTATAAGAAATCATTGTTAAATATAAAAAACACCAATAACTTTAATGAGATATTTATCTGTAAAACAATTCCTGGCTTTGACAGCAAACATTGTTCTATTTGACCACTACATTCCTTGTTTTTGCACCGCTAGTACAGCAGTTGTATATATAATGGTTCAGTCTTATCTGTTTTTAGAGGTTAAAGTTAATATTTTTATATTATGGCTATTTTCTAGATATTTTTTTAAAAGGAGTTTTGACAAATATTAAGTTTTTTATTTTCTAGAAGCTTCAGACTACGTGCCTACAAACTGGTGCCATTTTAATTTAAAAATATGCAAGTAATTTTGAACAAATTAAAGAATACCTTAACAGTTTATAGACCTACAATATGAATTCAAAGACATAAAAACTAATATTTAAAGAAAAATTAATTCATCTTGTACAGTCTCTATCATTTTATACTAAGATTTAGAAAGACAAACCTCCTTTCGATTTAATAGTCAAGAGGAAATACAATTTGAGATTATTTTTTCTTTTCAAAAATAACATAAAATTATAAATTTGCGAAAAGTATTTTTTTAGGCATAAGTAACAAGCAAGTTGAACAACAACAATTACAGGATTATTAGTTAAATCACAGTTCAATAAACCAGATAATTTAAGCACTTAAAGAAAATAAAGCTTTCTTGGTAAGTGAAGAGGAAGAAATGTCTATCTTCTGAAAGTGTTCAAGTTACTATTTCTCGAATTGCAATTTATCTTTTTTTTTTCCACCTTTACAAGTTTCCTTGGTTTCCCAACAACAATACTAGCTATCATCTTGTATAAGCAGCACATATTACAGTCAGTTTCACAAGAGTGACCTCACATTTCATGTTTTGCTTAGTACAAATTAAAATATATTTTCAAAAATTTAAAATAAAAAATTATAAATATGGTTCAATTATTTTACAAATCATGCAACTTTGTGCATTCTTCGGTGAAAATCAATAACTATATTATTATGAAAATCAATTCATAACAGATCAGAAAATTTACTTGAAAGAATAAATTACAAAAAAAAAGTTATGGAGAAACAATGCAGCATGTAAAAACAAGCTCATACATACTAACCAAGAACTACAAGGAAATAACCCATACAATGAGGAACAAAATATAGATATCAAACCTTTACTGAGCAGGTGTTGATGTATTAACTGTAAAAGTTCTTTGTCATTGTATATGATCCTAGTCTGAGCAACTACTTCAGCCTAAAAGAAAAAAAATGTAAATCATACCAAATGTCACCTGAATACAATAACAAAGAAAAAAAGAGTCCTGAATTAAAATATATTATCTTCAATACTTAAAGTGTACATAAAGTATTTTTGACTATATTCCTATAAGAGTAAACAAGTAAAAAATTATTAAATTACTGTATCTACACACTCAATAAAATAAACTATAAAGCTTCATTTTTTTTCACAGGATAACAAAACAGATATATAGCTACCAAATTAAGGATCTTCACTTATTGTATATAATAAATATGATGGATGTAATTCACACTGAACATGTCAATACATGTGCATTAATGCTTTTATCATATGTGCCAGAACACTTTGACTTCTCAGTTGTTTCCAATACAAAAATAAGTCAAAGTTCATCAGGGGTAGTTAGACCATATCTTTATGATTCAACATGACGACCTTCTAACCACAATGTAACCATAAAACTATACATACTATAACCCTGAATGTACTTAGTATATTTGCACAAAATTTAGCAAGATGTTTAGTAAGAATATTTTATTGAAAAATCAGAGTTTCTGTGTACAGCAGAATTGCCATGTTTACTAAAAATTACCTGTGAATTGATGAAGCCTTTACAGATTCAGTCTGAGTAAAATGTGATTTTCAAGCTAAGAATGAAAATACTTTTTCATCAGAAACTCCTAAATGAATATCAAACATTTTTTCAGTAAAACTTTATATTTTATCTCTTATTTTCTCTGTCCTAACACTGTAGCAAAAGTTGAAAAATATGAAATAAAATCAAAAATACATTTTATTTCTAGACTGTAACAGACAATTACAATTATTTACCCTAAACAGCCACAGGTTCCTAACAGTTTCACATCTACTTTCATTTTATTGCTTTCTTGTTCTTCGAAACATGTCTAACTAGCATAACAAAGCAATAAATCACCTGGTGAGAGCTTACAGCAGGTTAGGGTACACAAACTATCAAGTTATATCACTTTACAGATTCCTGTGAATGTTCCTTGAGGATAAGTGTTTTTATTTTCTTTTACGTTTCTTATCTAACCTAGCAAGTTTATAATTTTTACATTTTAGTTCCTTCTGTTAAAAAATATACAACAAATATACATAAAAACCAGGGAATTTAGAGATTACTTTAGCCTTGAGTACTTTTGTACTTAGGTGTGTGTTTAGTAAGTCTATTTTTTTTCACTCCGTTGGTTGTCCAAAAATAATTCATGTACCTTTCAGATATGCATTTTAGGATACAAAACCATACCACACACTAGCATAGTATAAACCAAAAATAATATAATTTATCTGGCTTTCTAACTAACCTATAAATAGGTAAAAAAAAATTTGTAACATCTTGGAGCAGCATCTTCAGTCTAAACACGTTAAGCTCTCAAGGCAAAATATTAGTTTCCATCACTAAAACAAAACAAGTGTCTGTGTTATTTTATTTAGTATTTGCTCTCTTTTTTTTTTCAATATAAACATGTCCAATATCAATGTCAAAGAGAATTATAGATTTCTTAAAAGACAGAAGTTATGAGAGAGAATGTCAATGTGGAATGAACAAACATAGTATTATCTCAGTAAAGCTAGAAGTTAAGATATTATATTCTGGCTTGTCAATATCTATAAAATGTGTTTCTAATTAGTTAAACAATCAGAAGCCCTTCTAAGCAAAAAGAAAAAAAAAGATAAATGAGAAGTCAGAGTGTTCTTGAATCATACGATTCAGAGGTACAGATTGAGTATTTCAATATTTCTTTTTGAAATTAAAAGTGGACATTAAGATATGAATTATAAACTACTTTTGATGCCAATTTTATTACCATACATTGGTAACAAGGTAGTTCAATGACTGACATTTTGAATGTAACTATAAAAATGTCATGAACATGCACACTTTGACCCTCCCATATGCATAGGATTAAAAAAACCCAATATATTATTTTAATTTTGTCCAAATTTCAACTTGACTTCAGTATTCAAATATGTTGGCTTACAATATATGCATTTTATAATTTCTTTTAAAATTTTAATTACCTAATTTTTCTATAAAATTAGAGCATTAATTCAGATATGAAGAACACAGATAAGTATTATAGTTTAAAATCAAAACTCAAAGCACTAATAAGTTGAAATTCACAGACTCTTCTCCCATAGGATGTAATGCTGAATTTCACTTAAAATTAAACCTTACAAAATTGTAAAAGTCATACAACCTCGAGCAAAAGCTTATTCTTATATTTTATGTAAACCACAGATCTCAATTCTTAAGGCAAAAATCAAAAAAGTTCAATCAATAACAATAGATTTAATGACACAGTTTTCTTTACATAAACCTTTGTAGCACTTTTGTATTGGACCAAAATAATCCATTATTGTATTTCCTTTACAACTTAGGCAATAACTGTTTTTCATCCAAATTTCTAAATGATTAAGATCATATAATAATACAATTTTTTTTGCTACAAAACCTATTATTGGCACACAAAACAACAAACTGGATTTATTTCCCAATATGGACAACAAGTTTACAACTGGAATAAATACACTGATGCAAATTATCTTACATTAAAAATACACAATCGCAAATACAAAAAAGGAAATTTGAGCTAGTGCCATTCACAGTTGAAAATGTCATTTAGGCCAACAGTTGGTTCTGAATTACTGAATGATCTACATTAAGTATTATATTTTGAAAAGGAAATGTTGCAGTATGAAACTATATCAACTTCAGAAACTCTGAAATGCTCCATGTACACCTTGTCTGTATAAAATCCAACTGTATTCAAGAATGATTATTAAATACAGTGGATTCCTAGCAGATACAAATGCAATTTACCAGCTCCTTAATTGAAATTAAGCAAAAAGTGCAAATAGCAGTCTGTAGCAAAAGGACAGGAAAACTTCAAGATAATCACAGAAAACTGTAATGAACAGGTTTGCTTATGGCAGGCTTTAATTAAGTGTGTCTGACATTAAGAAAAGCTGACTTATAATTTAGGTTTTAACAAAATTTCTATGCACTACCAGCACATTTTCTGATTAAACAGAATCTTGAAACACTTGGATTCAAATAAGAACTGTATAAGCAGGATCAGGACCATGAGAGCATGAAGTATATTAATGACAATGTGAAAATCTTTGTTCGACTTTTGTCAAAAATACTTATCACTAACTAAAGTAGGCACGATCAATACATAGAGGGTTGTAAGGCATACTTTCATGAAAAATTTCATCTCATCTGTTTTATTTTCACGAAATCAGCTTTACAATTTTTTTTATGAAGTGGCAAATAAGGTGGATGAGCCCTGGTTATGCTTGTTGTTAGCACAGAAATACATTATGGGCAATCTGTGCTCTTCTCACTGTAGCAGGTATAAAGGCTCAATTTTAGCACTATAATTTGTTTTGTTTTTAATACTTTAAGTTTGTTCAGCTTTGAGTCAGCTTATTCTTGTGAAACAAGGGTCACTGGTTAGATACCCACTGCCATGAAACTTGCTCATCCTGTCTTTAATATCCACAGATACTAAAGCTCTCTGCCACTGTCACTAATTTTGAATTCTTGACTAGAGAGAAGCATCAACTAACAACTGTATGGGTATTTAAATGTTAAATAAAGTGTAAATTTACTGGTCTTTTACACTGTGAACCTATATTCTGTAATGTTGAACAAGTAGGTACAATTTTAGAGGAGGGATACAGATCCCCAAGTTTTCAGAAATTAAAAGCAAAACAACAACAACAACAAAAAAAAAACAGCCAGACATCCTTACACTATCATATTATTAAAATGAAACATCAGATGTCAGTGTTTTTAACTGATTGGCCTATTAGTTACCATAAAAGCTTTTGTTTTTTTTCTTTCAGGTTTTCTGAAATCAACACAACTAGAGTCCACAGCAACCTGGTTAACTCTTTTGACACGGCCTCAGACCAACCTCATAACCATTCTGTGCTTGTTATAGTTTTTATGCTATAACTTTTGATATTTTAAGTGTATCATTACAACATTTCATAGACTTATAGTAAACATCAGAAGCCTTTGCACACAAAAAATCAGATTTTTTAACAAAGTATTTTTACTTATATTTGTCCGTGAAAATATTGATTCTTTTTTTTAACTAGTCTGAGTGCAAAGTGATTTTCATTTTAAGATACAAGATACTTTTCTTTGTTCCGAAAATCTCGAATTTCACATGCACAATCTCTGAAACCTCCTAAATACATATATACTTTTTTTCAATAAAACGTTATATTTTACCTGTTATTACATTTATTATTTGATACTTC